TAACAACTTAACCCAACGATGCCCCGAAGGTAGTCGATCACACTTTAGCCGCACATATTCCCTCAATGGAGATTTCTGGCATTCGCATGTCAATGGCGCATCCAACTACAAAGGCTCGTGAGCAGCCGTGGTTTGTGGCAACCGACTACTTCACCAAATAGGTGGAAGCAGAGCCCATGACGACCACGATTCAGACGGACATAGAGCGCTTCATATGGAGGAACATCATTTAACGATTTGGCATCTCTTAATCCATCGTCACCAACAACGGCCTGCAATTCGTGGGCAAAGATTTGGCGAAGTTTTTCCAAAAATATGGCATCAAGCAGCATATGTCCAAGCCGAGATATCCTCAAGGCAATAGGCAGGCCGAAACATCCAAAAAGATGGATCTCATCTGGGAATGTTTGTACAAGCTCAGCAGAATAGGCGGCAAGAGTAATTATACCCCCGCTACCATGAAACGATAAAAAGATCGAAAAGTAGTGGAGCGCCTACAATCTGAAGAAGTACCATGTGTGACCTCCCACTACATCAAAGCTCGAAGACTCAAGAAGCTCGACGGGCACCACCTCACAAGTCGAAGACTATCCAGTTGTTATGCAGTTCCTACCTTACAGCTAAGTTCTCGTTCGTTTCACTCGTTTTTCAATGAGGAATTCAGAAGTAATCACAACTTGGCTCGGCTGCATGTTTATAACAACTGATCACTCCGGCACTTCAAAAGAAGACTGCGCCCTTCTTAGGGACCCATCGCAGGAATTGCGCCCCCCAATGGACCAACCATGCTCTCCAGTGCGAGAGGGTAAACTAATTGCTCTCCAGTGCGAGAGGGTAAACCAATTCCCCGACACCCATATGGGTCAGCTCTCCAAGACGGGAGGATAAACTTTACACTCCGAATATCCAGACGTGGATGAGCCTGGCTGCCCTAGTATAACTAGATGCACGATGGCTTGCGCCGGGATTCCTAGAAGCAGCCGCAATGGTCTTTTTCAAGGCTTAGCTAACTGAAGGATTTTGGGTCTCTTGGCCTAATCCGTGGGGAACCGGGCCCTAGAGACGGAGAGGGCACATTACGTAGTACATTTGATGGACGGCTGCCCTGGAATCCTAAAGCTGCTACCGAGTGCACTAAGGTAGCCTATGGATTCCAGAAGACTGCCTACGGCTTGCCCTTCGAGCAGTAAAGCTGCACTAGACTTATACAACCGCACATTCTTGTGAAAGGTTAAACAAGCTAGCACGCATATACGAAGTTTTATCCACTACCGACATGCTACGTAGTCGATAAGCTTCACCTCTGCTAAGCGCAGAACAACCTACACCAAGTCCTAAAGTGTTGTGATACTTGCTACGCAACCTACAGAATTGGAGAAAGTCAAGGTTAACAGCCTAGTGGTTACGCGGACTTGTCTGCTTCTATAAGTAAGGCATCTGGCTGCCAACCCTATGGCTAACAACTTTGCAAAGTTCTACACCAACACCTACGGTTGCATAGGCTATGCGAGCTTGTCTGCTTATAAAAAAAGTAGCATGCCTGCCACTGGTCTATCAATTCTAAAGGTTAGGGCATGAACAAAAGAAGTGAAGATGAAGAAAAACGAAGGAAAACATGTTTATAAACAACTAGCAAAGGCCGAAGGAGTTCAAGCAAAACAAGAGCTACAAGGAAAAACAAAGAAAATCCTAAAGGCTACCTAAAATACTACACTACAGCAGCTTGGACATCCCACGACTACTCGGTCGCCACACCTTCAACAGTCGTAACTCTCTTAGCAGCCGCATCATCCGGCGCTTCACCCCCGGCTGCCCCAGTCTGGGCACTAACTTCTCCAACTACTTCACCAATGGAAGCCTTAAAAATAAAAGCAAGCAAGTCTTCTGGAGAAATAGAGAAGCTCATCCACTCCCTTCTTAGCATAAGCAGCAAAACGAAGCTCAGAAATTGCAAGCTTAAGATCTTGAATCTGAGGCGAATCAATCTCAGCAGCAAAGGGAGCAGGCTTTGGCGCCACTTTAGCAGCAGAGTCCACCTTACCACTCTTCATAATAGCAAGTCTCTACAAAGGTGAACCGGACTTGGCTCCCAAAGAACGTCCTGGTAGACTTCGGCACTGGGGGCATGATAAAACCTTTACGCTGAGCAATCTTATCCACAATTGTACTAGCCATTCTCAACATGGAAGACGCCACATGCTCAGATCTAGCAGCCTTATTTTTCTTCCCATTGGAAGAAGTCATGTCAATCACATACCTCTCGGTAGCAAGTGGGCCCTCATGAGCAGCAGAAGAAGTCTTTAGTTTTTTCTTAACTGGCACCTCATGAGCAGGCGGGAAAGATCTCTTCTTTCCATCTTCATTCATAGTATGCTCCACGACAGCGATCAGACGAGCCAATACATCCGCCTTGATCCTCTTTGCCTCCTCTTTCTGGAGTAGCCCACCTTTCTTTCAGCAAAGAGGACTAAACAGCCAACGACATTCATGGTACTCAGCAGGGGAGCTCAACCCAGCATTCCAGCAGGCAGGAGGCATGCATGCCCAACATTCTAGCAGCCCATGAGACCCGCAATCTCCTTATTTCTCTCAATCGCCAGCCTGGCCCGAGTCAGGTCCAAGAGCCCAAAGGACATGAGCCATGCGGCTCGCCTAGCACTGCGCCACAGCGCCACAATCCTCGACCCCAGCTGCACAAGCTGCCCTTGGCTCAAGCCAAGCCAATCTACCCAAGCAGTGGTCCTTGCCACGACATCTCCTCAACCCATGCCGAGCCAGCTCCTAGCCCTTGCCAGCCGACGTGCCGCACCACCCCGACGGCTACCCCGCAATAGCACTATCCAAGAATAAGGCAAGAAAAATTAAATTTTTCTTACATTGGTGCGGCACGAAGAAGACGAAGAAAGCAACGAAATACGGTCCTTTGCACGGGCAAGATGTAGAAGATTGCTAGAGGAGGGGGAACAAATATCCTCTAAGCTATCTCTCTCTTATAGGGTAGAATAAATCGCTCTCCAAAGTTGATTTAATAACCCACTTAAGGTGGACTTAAATAGGCTTTGAGAGAAATTTATTTCCTTTTCCTAGAAGAATCTAATTTCCTATTAAAGAGAGAATCAACATCAAAATAGGAAGCAGTCTTAAGTTTCCTAAAGCAAGAAGATCTCTACACCTGCTGCCCTTTTCTGCGAGCAGCCCAACAGGTGTGGGGGCATTTGTGGAGCCAAAAATAATCACAAGGCGACACGTGAATTTTTGGGTAAAAGAGGACAAAAATACCCTTGAGGCATACCGAGATTCCTACGCGCGAGCGGCGGACAATCATCCTTAAGAGGTTCTTCGGCCAAAGCCCCCCCCCCATTCATCGTGGGCGCGTGAGGCTCTTGGCCTTAACCTAAGGTGTTAATTGTTTTGTAGGTGCAAAATCGTCCAAGATCAAGGAGGAAGAAATTTGCATCCACAAATTAGCAACCTATAATTGAAGGATTTTTTTATTAGCACCTCACATATTGTTGAATGCACTTCACATAAAATTTATCATTAAGAGACTTATATATATACCTAATATAAAATGACTATTTAGGCCGAATAAACTTAAAAAAGAAAATCTTTTCAAAATACACCCCAAATTATTTTCGACATATATTCTAAGATTGTTTTTCTTCAAACTCTTAAAGTCACTCACATCCTTCGTTGTAGAACAAAATCTACCTGAAACCTAAACCTAAACCATTAAAAGCACAAAACGTTGATGAAAAAAGATTATTTTTCATCTTCGTTTTGCAGGTCTTCAATTTGCTTGATTCCTACACACACATTGCTAATTGGGTTCAAGAAGCGAAGCTTCCTAATGAATTAATTAAGAATTATTTACTGAATCTTACTAACAATATCTCAAAATTAGCAGCTTCTAGAAGTCTGATAAGTAATCTCCCTCCGTTCGTTCATAAACAAAAACATCGAAGTAAAACAGAAAGCAAAGACTCAAGATCGAGTAGAACTCTTCTGATTTGTTGACGCCTTTGTTAAAATGTACGGAATGTCATTGTAACCATAAACTGTCCCAAAACTACGTGCTTAACTAATTGACTCTTGGAGAGAAACAAATTAAGTTTAATCAAAAGACAAAAACTAATTATGTTCCTGTCAGTACTTTCTTTTGGCTCCTCTTAGTAGTGGGTAAAGATTGGTTCAATGTGACACTTCTAGGCAAGGGAGATATATAGAGGTGGTCCATTATACACACAACAAATATGATACATAAAATCAAGAAACAAAATTCATCATTAATTAATTAATTTTTTTGGAAAACCATCATTAATTAATTATGCTCGAAGGAGTGAGATATATACTTTTCATGTGTGGAGGGTTCTCCAAGTTAAACGTCTGTTTAATGAAGGTCTCTCTGATTAAAAAAGAACAGAAAAAAAATGCTGTAAAAAAAAAATATTGGGATCCATTTTTCTAGGCTCATCTACTAATTAAATGTACATGTCGTTTTCTATCAAAAATAAATTTGTTGTACGGTTGAAGTTTAATGAATGAATATCGTTACTTAATAAAAAAGTGTACATGTACAATGAAAGTTATGTAACAGTAAACAAGATGTGAGATATTCAAAGGCAATTAATATGTTTCGGAAATTGCTTTACGATGGGTTTAAGGGGTGATTACCAAAATTTAATAGTCACTGCAAAAACATCAATTGCTTGTTACCTGAATGTCGGTGGAACTGCTAGAAATGGGATCACCACAGCCATTAACACCCCCAAATTAATGAACTGGTGCATTTGAATTAATACTCAAAATTAAGCGATGATACAAAACGAGGAAATAGTGACAGCCGATAAAAATGATTAGTAGCTAGCTACGTACGATTAGGGGTTCTTGCAAACAAGATTAACAACTACATTGCTATTTTTGCACAAGGCCATAACCTATTGGTGGCGATACTTACAATGTATAAAAAGGAGAGATGGAGAGGTAAAGCAGGGAAGCAAAACAGAGAAGCACAAAGCAATCATATAAAGAGCCATTGGAGAAATTTTTTAGCTCTTCAATGGCTGCCTTGGACAACAAGCTTTTCTTTTTTCTCCCTCTCCTCTTCATAATTAATGGGATTGATGCACAAATTCATTTTCCTCATTTTCCTCATTTTCCTCATTTTCCTCAAATCCCTTTCTTCAACCCCTTGGGTTTCGGTCGACATAGTGGCAATAGCGGCAACATAGGTGAGGGCCCGGCTTTTGCTACTATTGAAGGCTTCGATCCAAGGGCTGATAGGCCAGAGCCCCGTGATGGTCCTACTGCAGGTAGGGGAGAGCCTGCTGCTGATCTTAACGTTAGAGAAGAGCTCCGCGGTATTCCTAAGCGCGGCAAGCCAGTGGGTGGTGATCCCAAGCCTGGCAAGCCAGTGGGCGGTGATCCTCAGCCTGGCAAGCCAGCAGCGGATGTACCTACACAGCCCGACTTCCCAACCCAGTTCACAGGGGCGTGGGAAGTTGTTCAATTGGACTCAGGCGTATCGGCCATGCATTTGAATTTGCTCCCCAACAACAAGATCATGATGTACGACGCCTCTGCCTTCCATATTTCCAACCTCAAATTGCCTAATGGACAATGCGTGCCCTACAAGAATGACAAGGGCGTGGAGCTAACAGATTGTTGGTCTCATGCAGTTGAATATGACGTTGAAACTAATGCAGTCAGGCCACTCAAGGTTCGGATCATATGTCGTTCAAATTTATGCATATATTACAACATGAATAACGCTCTTATCAAATTTACATTGGTGTCATATAAATGTTTACGTTTGTTAATTGTGAATCTTGATCATGCATAAGCATCTTATGTTGCTATACAGTCCATGAATGTTTGCATGCTTATGTTGCTATACAGTCCATGACTGTTCGCATGCTTACGTTGATATACAGTCCATGCACATTTGCATGCGAACGTTCAAAAATATGGTTGAGTTTTTCATGTTTTACGAATCTATTTCCACTTACGGGCTACAGTGACGGTGGTGATCTATAAACAGGTCGTTACAGACCCATGGTGCTCATCAGGAGGGCTGACGGCTGACGGTAACTTTATAAGCACCGGTGGTTGGATGGATGGAACTAGAGCTGTTAGATACTTCGATGCATGCCCCACATGTGACTTTAGGGATATCCCCAACGTGTTGGCCGAACCAAGATGGTACGTATAGATTAATTTAAATGAAGATTTTCAAACAAACGTTTATTTATAAACTTGTGTTGATTAAGATTGTTGTTGTTTAAATCATAGGTATGCAACACAAGTAACCCTACCTGACGGTAGATTCTTTCTAGCCGGTGGCCGCAAGTCATACAGCTTTGAGTTCGTTCCACCGGAAGGACAAGTTAACAAGCAAGCCATCTTCTTCCCACTGCTCGACGAAACCACCGACCTAGACGAAAACAACCTCTATCCTTTCGTCCACGTTTCGACAGATGGCAACCTCTTCATCCTCGCCAACCGCCGCTCCGTCCTGCTCAACCCTCAGACCAACAAAGTCATCAAAGAGTTCCACGTGTTGGGTGGTGGATCGCGAAACTACCCAGCATCAGGGATGTCAGCCCTGCTGCCGATTGACCTCAGTGTCCCCAACCCTCAGCTCATCCCGGCTGAGGTTATTGTTTGCGGTGGTGCGAAACCCGAGGCTTATGGCCTTGCCGGCAAGCAGAAGTTCCTTCCCGCCTTGCAAGATTGTGCCAGACTTAGGATTACAGACCCTAATCCTAAGTGGGTTAAGGAAAACATGCCCTCTCGCCGTGTCATGGGAGATATGCTTATCCTCCCCACCGGAGACCTGTTGATTATTAACGGTGCCCAACAAGGTATGCTTGCCTTGCCTCAATCTCGTAAAGGCTTTTCTGAACTTTATTTTCCCTAGGCTTGGTAATTAAAATGGTTTTCTTGATTAAGTTCGGATGTTAAATTAGATTTTGATTTATGTCTATTTGATTAGCGGTAAGTTATTCTGATAATAACGGCTTGTTTGGAATCACTTCGATAGAAAACACGTATGCTGATTTTTTGGGCTGCTCCAACGGCAAAGAGGAAAACGAAAATATATCTTTAGGCTAAATTCTCCTCAGGATTTAAGCATGACTTAAATTATTCTAGACTCATCAAATTGTCACATTTAAAACTTTTTTTTGTTTACTTATAATCTAACGGTTATGATCAAATGAGTTCAAATCTAATGGTAAAAAAAAATATGATTTGACGGTCCAAAATTAAATCTAACGTCTTAATCAAATTTAACTGAAAACTTTATAAATACTTATGCATTTGTATGATTTTTATTAGTAGTCGGAATTTAAATATTTTTAGATTAAATGTTCGTAAGAATAAATTAGGATAATCTACATATTTTATTTTCAAAAAAGTTACCAACAAAAAAAATTAGGCTAAAATCATTATTTAATAATATCGGGCTAAAATTTTAAGCCATAAGAGTTGGAGGAGAAAAACAGTTTATGGGTTATGGCTTAAAATTTTTTGGCTTAAATTTTTAAACTTTATCCTCAAGGGTTGGAGATGGTCTTAGAATCATTTTCCAAATTTATTAAAATTTGAGTGCTTCTTGAAAACGCAATTGAGGGGAGTGCTTGTATGAGCTAAAGATCCTTTTATTTTTCCAGAAGCAGTCTCAAAAAACCCTAAACATACATGTAATCCTTATACCAATTTACTTGTACCCTAAGAGTGATAATCAAAATCTAATCCAAAACGAAGGAAAATATTCTAAATTTCTAATGTGTCAAGTAACATAAATGACAAAAGAACGATAATAATTAGTGGTGCAAAATAAATACAGCAATTTGTAACCCTAATTTTTTTCAACAGGTGCGTCAGCATGGTTTCTGGCAGAGCAGCCCAACTTCACTCCTGTGCTCTACAGTCCCAACAACAAACTAGGAACCCGATTCAGGAACCTGCAACCGACCCAGATTGCAAGAATGTACCACTCAACCTCCGCACTCCTCCCTAATGGAAAAATCCTTGTAGCAGGCAGCAACACCAACCCAGGCTATGACTTCAAGGCCAAGTACCCAACCGAGTTGAGAGTCGAGCACTTCTCGCCACCTTACCTGGACCCGGCATTGGCTGTCCACCGCCCTGCCATCATGGTCCAGAACTCCGGCATCAAGTTGAAGTACGGCCAGCCATTCAAAGTCCAGTTTCAGCTCCAAGACAAACCCGTGACCAAGGCGGACATCAAGCTGACAATGTACGCGCCGCCTTTCACGACTCACGGGTACTCGATGAATCAGAGGTTGCTTATTCTTGGAAAGAATGACCTGAAGAACGTGGCACCAGATGTTTACATGCTTCAAGCGGTGGCGCCGCCTTCGAGTGTTTTGGCTCCACCAGGGTACTACCTGGTTTTTGTGGTCTATCGTGGTGTGCCTAGCGTGGGAATGTGGGTGCAGATTAGGTAATTAATTTGGTCTGGCTTAATTAGCTAGCTTCATGATCACCCGCCGTTCATTCATGTTTAATTAAATCAAAATCAATTAAACAATTAAATAATAATTTAATTATACCATGATATCTTTCTCTTTTCTTTTCTTTGTCATATTAACTTTGATCGATGTGCGTCGAACATAAACAAACCTTGAAGTATGTACAGATTTATTTTCTATGCATAGAAGTTAAAGGTTTTTTTTTTTTTTTTGTTTTGTTTTGGTTGGAAACTTTAGGGTTTGAATGCTACTCTATGGGATAAAGACAGTATGGACACGAACAATGATGTGAACTTTTGAATGACTCAATATTATGCATTCTAGTCCAACAAAAAAATTTAGTTGAAGGGGACAAATTGGTGTTATTTTTATAATGCTTGGGTATTTACTAGACTGAGTTAAACCTGTCGATTAGCACAATATATTCACCGTTTTTATTCTTAGTTTAATCACCATTTTCCTCAGATATCACCTTTTTTCTTTAAATCAATGAAAAATGAAAAACAAAAAGCGATTTCAAATCTTTTATCTCTAATTTCTTCGTACCCTTTTGGTCACCAAAACAAAAATGGTAATTTCTATTTGCCCGCAGCCCACGGGTGCTAGTGAATATTACTCGTGACCGTCCATTTATATATTAAGGAATAATGTTACATTCATCACGTATTTTTTTTTAGTTCAAGTACGATATCTCACTGAATAAGAGGGAATACGTACAGAAAAGAGGATAGGTGCTAACAGTGGACCTTGATAAAAAATAAAAAAAAATAAAACTTATCAGGAATTTCAACTCAAATGAAGGGAAAAAGACTGTTTCAGACCAAAAAAGTTAAATAGTAGAGCTATCCTCAAACAAAATATCAAAAACTATGACGGGAAGTTCCGCTACCAAATAGTAGTGCTACACTCACCAGTCACCACGTATTTGTATAATCTCTCTAATAGAGATAAGACATGTCAATGCATGTGAGCCTCATTTCTATTACAGAGATGATACAAATGATGGTACAACTATGTGGTAAGAGTAGCACTTTTGTATATTAAGGTTAAACGGTTAAATATAACCCTAACCTATAATTGATAAACAGGTACTCTTAACTATCAATTTTAATGGATCGCATTACTGCTAGTATCTACGTTTAATGTGATTAATTCGATTGCGTGGAAACTAAAATATAGATTGCCTTTAGATAACCGAAAAGAAAAAAAGAGTTGATGACACTTGACATAATAGTTTGAGAAAAGGATATGGCAATTAAAATGTTGAAAGAGGTTTCACGTTCGAATCATCTTTCTTTTACCGCTCACAACGGGTGCCAAGCCGTTAGGTTAATGCAGGCTCAACCCGACTAGAGGGAACTATTTGATTGAACTCTTTGAACCAACCTTGAAAGCACCATATATATAGATATAAATAGTTGAGAACTTTGTACGAAAACCTCTCTGCAGGGATGCACGTCCGGCCAAGCAAATCATGAACTCGTCATTTCACAGCTGGCCAGCCCAGCAGTCCACACTAGCTATACTTGCATAAGTCCCAGGCACAATTTTCCCGTAAATTCATAATCGCACCGCGTCCCAGCTAATTACACCCATTCTCTCCTACTCTTACAACATCTATGACATTTGCACCACGACCCCACGAACATATTGGCAATGAACAAATAATTAGCATTCAAGTTGTCACTCAGTACTACGGTCTAGTGTTATTCATTTTTATTTGTAAGTAAGAGATCTTATATTCGATTTTCTCGTAAAAGGCAAATTTGAACTGCATTATTATTAGCCTATTGTGAGGCTAAACCCACCGCCTCCCGTTTAGTATAGATTGTATAGTTTGTTCAAAAATAAAAAATTAGCATTCAACTTATTAATCAATAATTTTCGCGTTTGTAATCATTGAGTTTTTAATTTTATGTTAATTTTTACATGGGAAAATTTGAAATAGGTCTAATTTTATAGGCCTACTTTTGAAATAGGTCTAATTTTTAATGACTTTTGAGATAGGTCCAATTTTTAGTTATTTTGAACCCATATCAAAATACCCCTTTTTTCATTATAGGTAGATGAGAAAGAGGAATGTTAGTTATCTTCCCCATTTTCCTTTTCTCACTTGCCCCTTCAATGGATGCCATGTGGACTAATTTTACACCTAAATATATCTAAGTATTAATTGTGTCTAAAACTTCTTTCTCCTCTTCCACTAAACATTAAATTCAAACTTACGACATAAACAAAAAAACATTGTTCATTCTTCCATCGAACTCTACCACCACATCTACTTTCTTTTTAAAATCTTGAACTTTGTAAATCCGGCTAAAATAGTTCAACAATGTGCTCTCCTCTATATCCAAGTTCGAATTCCCCTCTCTGGTAAAATTATATTAGAGCATCGCTTGAATAAAAATAAATAAATAACTTATTTGCAGTATAATTTGTAAGTTTTGAGGAGCATGCTTCAACGCGTTTTTTTCTTCTAAAATAGGAATGTCAAAAGCTATGCCGTAGTGGTAGGAGAGAATATTTTGCACACTGCAAAATAGAAAGTTATATAAAGCCATCAAGAATCCAAATTAAGCAAGACGCGTCCCGTTTCGACAAACAAATTGTTGTTGTCCTAGAGAAAGAAAAATTTAGTTGGGACTGAAGAAGTTGAAATGGCACTAGCTTTGCAAGCATTTCTGGTAGCTCTGTGCATCACTGCGTTCCATCAAAATTTAGCCGATGCAAAAGTTTCGAAGAGCATGTACCTCACCTGGGGTACCCAACACGCTACGATTCAAGGCGAGAATCTTAACCTCGTGCTCGATCAAACTTCAGGTTACAACTACTTTTTAACTCTTTCGATTTCTTGGGATCTACGTGCGTGCATCCGTACGAACTTGGATTAGACGATTAATTAGTTTGTTTATAACGCGTTAGTCCATCCCTGATGTGGCATTAATCAAGTTTTGCACTAGAATTCTAACTAATCTGTTGGTAGAATAATATCCATCGATGAAATGTCTCCGTGTAGAACATGTAAAAGCTCATGCAATGATCAAGTTATCTCCTCTAACCAGACTACAATACTGCCTTTGCTTTGCAGGGTCTGCTGCAATGTCAAAGAGAGGTTTCTTATTCGGAAGCATCGAGATGCTGATTAAGTTGGTACCTGGGAATTCCGCCGGGATAGTGACAGCGTACTATGTAAGTCGCTAACTGAAGCAAGATAAAAACACTGAAAAAACCCGAGCGAGATACATAGTAAACTAGCGCGTGCTAATTTGTTCATACTCAAATTTGTGCAGCTATCGTCAACAGGACCCAAACACGATGAGATAGATTTTGAATTCCTAGGGAACGTTTCTGGACAACCTTACATTGTCCACACAAACATATACACACAAGGAAATGGAACCAAAGAGCAGCAATTTTACCTCTGGTTTGACCCGACCGCGGATTTCCACAACTACACCATACATTGGAACCCTGCTGAAATTGTGTAAGCTAACTTTGCTTTCAATCTTAACAGGGTGAAAAGAAATCATCTTCTGTTGTACGAGTCGTGGAACCAAACAACTTCTAAACTTCAATACACTTTTATGATTTCAGTTGGTACGTCGATAGTTTGCCCATTCGTGTTTTCCGAAACTACGAGAACCAGGGGATTGCCTACCCCAACAAGCAAGGGATGAAGGTTTACTCCAGCTTATGGAATGCTGATAACTGGGCAACTAGAGGTGGGCTAGAGAAGATAAACTGGACCGGTGCACCCTTCACAGCCGGGTTCAAAAACTTCAGGGCAAGAGCCTGCAAGTGGGATGGAGCCGCCAGCATTAGTGTATGCGCCGCCACTTCCCGGGCTAACTGGTGGACCTCCCCTATATACAGCCGGCTGAGCAGCGGTAAGCTCGGCCAGCTGCAGTGGGTCAGGAATAACCACATGATCTATGACTACTGCAAAGACACTAAACGATTCAATGGAAAGATGCCATCTGAATGTTCTAAACAACAATTCTGATTTGAGGCTAAGCAATCAAGCTACAGAAAGAAACCCGAATCCCGTTTCAACCAGACGACTGATTCTGCAGCCTTAATTGGCTTTCCTCTTCCCGTTCACGACTGACAAATAATCCTTGTGGTTTTTATGTGTTTCGATTTTTCAATTATGTTGTATTCTGCTGTAATTCAAACAGATATACCATTTTTGTTCCTTTTTAATGATTCACTCACATTTGTATCATTCTTTTACTTGTGTTCCAGCTACATTGATCTATAAAGCGATAAACTTTCAGAGACAAAGAAGTATCAATTAAATGACCAAATTGCACTTGATCTTCCTTTCTTTTCTCAGCAGCCAAACACTCAAACGTCAATACCCAAACAAATCAAGCTAACTACGCCCCCGGGAACTCGATTTTAATCGAACAAACCAAGCTTGCTATGCAACATAAGTAATTTAACGGATATTTAACAGAATAGACAATTCCGATAACGCAAAGCTTGACTTACAAGAGGATAAGTGAGATTAAAATCGAATTCTACGGGCATATAAAAAAATAAGCCTCAAGTTTATACAAACCGAATGCATAAAGCAAAGGAACCCAGTAAGTAAAATTTGAAATTCATAATGTTTATTAATCATTCACATTTGTTCGTTCTCTTACTTTTTCAGTTCCTCTGCTCAATAAATTTCAGAGAAAAACAAGTATTACTAAAATGACAAATTTCCTCTTGATTTTCCCTCATTTTCTCAGCAGCCAAACACTCAAGCATTCAGCAATCGAACGAAACAAGCTAATCTACGCATAGAATTAATACAAAACTTGAAATTCCGATTAATTGATGCAAAGCCAAATGCCCAAAACAATCAAAGCCGTACCGAACATAGCGAGGCCGAGGTGGGTCTGCTCCCCCAAGAGCAAGCCAAACACGGCGGTGGCGGCGAAGGTCGTCGCATTGGTGACGGGGACGGCAAGCGAGATCGGAGTGTGGCTGAGTATGGCGAAGAAAGTGGCAGAGGCGGAGAGGTTGACGAAGAAGGGGACTGTATACTGCCAGATTGCGAGGAGCCTGAGCCAGCTCGTCAAGGAGGCGAGAAGCTTGTGGTGGATTGGGCCGGGCTGGGCATGGGCAGAGGAGGATTTGAGGGCTTGGTCCCAGAGGAGGGCGCCGCGGCGCATTAGGGCGTTGGTGGCACCCCAAACGAGGCCAACTCCGATCATCTTCTCGACGTCTCCGATCATCGGCATTGATCTGATCTATGTCTGTGTGTCTGTGCTTTGTGTTGCAG